AAATCTAACACATTAAACTGTTTCTTACTTTTATTTAAAATCATATTCCAGTAACCATGAAAGATAAGATCAAGAATTTGGATTTTCAAATTTATTAAAAACTTGCATATTGAAAATGTAATTTACGTTAATAAATAGCGCTCTATCAGTGTCTATTTATTAACGTAATATTTGAATAAGAATTAAAACTCTTCAAAAGCATATTTTATGAAGCGCAATTAAAATAGAAAATGATAAATTTCAATAAAAACAAAAAGCAAGGGATTAGAGAGGCTTGTCAGAAAGAGCATTAAAATGTTGAGGTTAACAAAATCTGCTAAATTTAACTATACTATTACTATCCTTCTTTAGCAGAACAGAGTTGAGGTTGCTGGTGGAATATTTAACGGCTCACCATGGTCTGCATTATTACCTTAACAAAATGGGTCTTTCCGAAGAGATAAATTATCGACTCTGTTTAGAAACAGACGAGCGTTCCAATCATATTCTCTGTGACTGCCCAACCTTGAGCTGGGCCAGGAGAAAGTCACTGGGTCGAGATCTATTCTTTCCTTCTGACATTAGAAGGTCCTCAACCGCCGACATTCTGGCTTTCATTCAGAGGGCGGAGTGTCTTCTGTTCAATTAGGGTTTGTTGCAGAACAGAAGATCAATGATGGTCGCCGCTCTGTTGGGAGCTGTTACCCCGTTTATTCCTATTCCTATTCATAACTATACTACTAACTTTAACTACTAACTACTTTTAAGTAAATTTAACTAAACACTAAGTGTAATTAATATATGGATAGATATAAACATAGATTTTATGTGTATTTAATTTAATAAAATCTCTAATTTCTCAATAAAATCGAAATGCATTTCAAGAAATATATTTACAATGTTTTAAATAAAATATTCTTTAAGGACTCTAAACAAGTAAGCTTAGTCAGTAAAAAACTTTTTCAATATTTACTCTCATAAATAATGAAAAGTTTAATGATAATAAACAAAATATTTTTAATATTTACTCACATAAATAATAAAAAGTTTTATAAAACTATTTAAAATATATTTACTCAATGTTTCATCAATAGTCCTTAAGGAAGCAATAAACTATTAAAAAATTCTACTTGACTTTTTATTGACGTCATTTATAAATTCACTTTTTAGCTCTTTTACTCAACAGAGTAAAAGTATTTAAAGTTTTTAATAAATTTACTTAATAAAAATCAGTAGTAATGCAATTATTAATTAAAAAATCTGCTTAATCCTGTATTAAAATTCAAAGTACGATCCGCTGTGCATCCTTGTTTATATGCACAATATTAACGATAACCTCGTTTTTATTCCATTGATACGGAAAAGCATCCAATTCAAGTCGGAAAAGCAGAAAATTACTGAATGTTTTAGTTTTTAACTTGAAATCATTTTTAATGAGAAAAGTTTATGGTTTTATGGTCAGTGAATGAACAAAACAAAAAAAAAAGGATTAAGGCTGTAGGTTTAAATGGAATTAAAAGTGCTAAGATTGTTCGTAATATTTTTATTAAAAAGAAAAAATAAAAATATTAGTAATAATTTAAAAATCACTTATTTTTCACATTCATAAACAATGAAGAAATTACTTCTTAGATGATAAAATAATATTTTTTTAAAATTAATTTCAAAGAAGAGTTATTTCAATATTTATAGAAATCTAATAGAAACATACCTATAATCATAAAAAAACTTTAGAAACTTTAAAAACCTATTATTTTTAAATGCATTCCTAATCGGAAAGGTTAGGTAAACATAAAGGAAAGGTTTAAGGCGTTAAGGTAAATTTTATTCGATTTATGCCTTAACACTTTCATGAGTGTTGATATTTATCATTAGTTCAATGTTGATATTGTGACATCGGGGAAAAATCTAAAAATTTTCCAGATGAAAATTCTTCTCTAAAGACAGCACAATTGTAGTATACGTAGGTCTCACTACTTATCTACAAATCGCGGATACGCTAGGGATCCGATATATATTTAACAAAAGTGTCTACCTTCCGGACAACCACTACAGAGATGAAATTCATAAATTGGAGATTCCTTGAATTATATTTATTGAGCTCAAAGGGACTTAACTTAAAACTTGAACAAATGTTTTTTTTTTATTTCTTTTTCATTTCAAATTTATTGGATGACTTATACACTTAAGAATATAAAACTATAACCCTTTTGAAAGAATATAATTATTTAATTTTGACGGTGTTCAAAGCTTCTTTGTCTTACAAAATGAATATAAAATTTATTTGTTATTATTATTTATTTATTTATTTATTCATTATATATTTTAATTTCTGCCTTTCTAGTTTTAGTTTTTATTAAAAGAAACCTTCTGAAATACTTCTGAAATTTTTTAAAAAAAGATAAAAGTATTTTTTGAAGTAATTTTGCTCCAAAATTTTGTTCCAAAATGAAATTGGTGGTGACTATCTCCCTCTCCAATATAAGAAGTGATATATCTGTAGAATACATACTCTTATCTTCCCTAACTTATTTTATAAAACAAGTTTCTGTTTAATTTTCAAAAAAAATTTAAGGATTATGTATATTCTGTACTAAGTTTTTTTAAATTATTACTGGGCTTAAGTCCTTAATTTAAAATTTAAAAATTACACTTATAAATTTGTGTTAAATATTTAATTGTATATTAATTTTTATAAAAAATTATTCGTATTA